CCTTCCCTTTCCCCTTCCCTTCCCTTCCTGTTCCAGTTAATGATGTTTTCCAGGGAGAGAAGAGACATGATGAAGGTGGTGCTCCATGCAGTGAGAGCCAAGAGGAGAGAAGAGAAGGAAAAGGGAGATTCTCCTCCTACTGCAGGTGGGATAATCTGCACAGATGTATGAGCTCTGCCAGAAACAAACCTGATTTGGGAGCAGAGTAGGGTGGTATTGAGCACACACAGGGGGCAGTGTCTGATGGCTCCATGTGGCCTCGTAGGGTGCCACTAGCAGGTCTCTGTCCCCATAGCAGCTGATGGTGAGCGTGCTGGGGTTTCTCACCATGGCCATGGTTGCTGGAGGTCATAGTCATGGCTTGGCTCTGGTGGCTTGGCTGCAGTTGGGGTGGTTTGGCTTGGGCTGATCTTTTGTGTCCATCTTCTGTGTCTCTCATATTTCTTGCATTTGACTCTCCCCAGGAAGGCTCTGCAGCCAGTATCAAAGGCAAAGCATTTCTGCAAGGCTCATGCCAAGGTCTTGAGAAGAGTTGTCCTGGGGCTCCTTGGAGTAGGTGAGAACTTCCTGTCACTGAACTTTCTGTCACCCCTTTGGCTGGCTGTGCCTCCAGACTACACTTATTGAACACTGTCAAGTGTGTGGAGGTTGTATCCACCCCCAGCAGCCTTGCTGCCCCCTCATCACCCCACTACTGCTACCCAATTCTATCTTCACCTCACTGTCCTCCTGCCCTTTCTCTACCAGCCCAAAGGGTTTACTGTGCCCCTTCTGCTCCCTGCTGAGGTGGTGCTCTTAAGGAGTCCTCATGCAAAGATGGGATCCTCAAGGGTGGCCAGGGAAGGACATTGGGAGGAAATTAACCTTGTGGTTGGCCCTGGTGAGTTATGAACCCGTGATCCTACAGCCTTGATGTTTCTGACTCCCAATGTGCCTTCTCCAGCCTACCTGTGCTACTTCATTGCGGCCTGTTACCTCAGCTTCCAGCGAGCCCTTGCTTTGGTGGTCATGACTGCTGTGGTTGCCTTCTTCATCTGCTGGGACATCTTCAAGAAGCACTGTGAGGGAAAGGTTCTGCTGCTCCTCCGCCCTGTTGGGAAGTGCTTCCAAAAGTCCTGGCCATGGCTGAAATGGTGAGTCAGGAGGAGGCAGGGCCAGATCCCTCCCAGCACCTGGGTTCCCTCCCATGGCTCTGCCAGCACAACCACAGCTGATGGCATCAGGCATGTGCTCTAGTGCCATGCTGGCACTTCACAAATGGTGAGCATGGCCCAGCCTGGGAACCACTTAAAAGCCATTGCTTTGAAGCCATTGCAGCCTTCTTGCTGCTCTGCCTCAGTAGCATGATGGCTGTTCACAACCCTCGCTTGTGCCTGAGCCCTGGGTTTCTTCAGATACCTGGACCTTACAGTGGCAATTCCATCCCAATCGGCTTCTGCCTTCATGTGCTTCTCTCCCTATGGGGACACCATCTTGCTGACAGTCTGGGGTTTTCTCTGCAGGCTCCTGTGGGTGGCCCTCCTGGCAGGCCTGATTGTGTGGCTGGCTTTGGACACTGGCAGAAACCCAGAGCAGCTCATTTCATTAGGCGGCTTCTGCTTTTTGGTGCTGTTCCTGTTTGCCTTCTCCAAGCACCATGGTGCGGTACGTGTTTCAGGTGTGACTTGACAATCAGTTCCCTCGCAGGAGGTGGCCACCCAGCACAACAAACACTTTGTTTCCACTGGCATCCCTTTCTCTGGAGGAAGCAGAAGCCCAGCAGAGCTGGGCAGAGCTGGGCGCAGCCTGGGGAACTGAACTGGTTGGGTGGATAGACCCCAAAGCCACCTCACTGCTCTTCTTCCCATTGCTCTCCTTCCCACTTCCCAACTCAGGGCTCCCCTGCATTGCCTCTGTCCTGTTTTCTGCCATGTCCCTCATAGCGGGTCAGACCCTGAAACCCAGCACCAGACCCACACCTGGGCTTCAGGTGCCTTGGGAGCCTTGGTCAGAAGTGATTGAAGTCCTGGTGGCTTCCAGCCCAAACTGCTGCAATACTTTTGGCAGTCCCTCCATCCTGCTTCTCCAAAGGGTAATTGAACAGATGGTTTCAGTCTAGCAGGTCTGTGCTACCAATCTTCATAAGGTCTTTGTGCTTGTATTCCGGGTCAGCCTAGCACGTTATGTTCTAGCCAGTTCCAGAGTCTCACCAACTCATTTCTGGCTCTGTCACGAACCTACATTTGTTTGTTTCTGTGACACTTTATCGGTCTCCCCATGATCTTCACCCCATGGCAGTGTGTGGTGTTTGTCATGTCCTGCTGTTGCAGCAGCTGGAAACCAGAGGGGGAAGCCTGCAGGCCCTGAAAACATTTCAGCTCCTGTTCTGCTTTTTGTCCCCAGGTGTCCTGGAGAGCCGTTTTCTGGGGCCTTGGTTTGGAGTTCTTACTCGGACTCTTTGTCCTCCGAACAACTCCCGGCACCCAAGCTTTCCAATGGCTGGGAGACCAGATCCAGGTACTGCATCTACTCATCCCATCCTGTGCTTGTACCCTGAGATTAACAGGAAAAGCAGAGGGTGGCATGGGGAGGAGAAATGGCAGGGATTGCATGCTCACAAACACTTCTGTTCGGGACAGGAGGGAAGCCAGCTTTTCCCTGGTTTTCTGCAGCAACCCAGAGCCCTCAGTGTGCTCTCCCTTCCCGGTTGTAGCAGAGCCCTGTGGCTTTGGGACAGCCTACCAGTATTTCCATCTTAGGTCTCAGAGGGTCATCCTCTGGTGTGCAGTGAAGTGAGCTGTGGGACTGAGGGCACAGCCCCTCACTAGGCAGAATGAGATATCAGGGAAGGACCTGATGGAGATCTCTGTCCTACCTGTGTAACTTCTTCCCTTGCAGTACTTCCTGGGCTACACCACAGCTGGCTCCAGCTTTGTCTTTGGCAACACACTCATTCAAGAAGTCTTTGCCTTCCAGGTCAGCCAAAGAATGGGGCATGGGGAGGTTTTCTTCTGGTCTGCCTCTTTGCTGGGTCGTGGAGAGCACAGAGCTCAATGCAGCCAGATCTGCTGCGGTAGAGCTCAGCCATCTCAGAGATGGATCTCCCTGAGCTGTGTATACACCTGGGGACTTCCTCAGTGCCAAGGAGGATTTGCACTGGTCCCTGTCTCTCCTGCCAGCCTGGCCATGTGTTGTGGCACCCCAATAGTGTGGGCTGTCTGTGTAGTAGCACACTGTGCCGACCTGGATGTGTGGCTCAGCTCTCCTTTAACCCTGTGCCTTGCCTGCAGACCCTGCCCATCATTGTTTTCTTCAGCTGTGTGATGTCCATCCTCTACTACCTCGGTGTCATGCAGTGGCTTATTCTCAAGGTAGGGCCTTGCTCCTAGATCTGGGATGGCAGTGGAAAGGAGAAGAACCTGTTGGGAACTCTGTCTGCTACAGTCAGCTGAGAGATGTCCCAGGAAAATTGTTCTGGTATTAATTTGGGGTGATTTGTCCTGCTTAAAAGAATAGACACAAGCCGCATCTTTCTAGCATATCCTCAGAAAGCTGTAAAAACTGAACCCTAGAGCTGATGTTTTCACCTGGTCTGGGGGGGCTTCCCAGGATCACCTGCACGCAGGGGCCAAACAGTGCCTGGCTTCATGGGCATGGTGGCAGTGTGCCAGGAGCCTCTGTCAACACAGTGGCCTTGTCTTTCCCCAGATCTCCTGGCTGCTTCAAGTCTCAATGGGCACCACTCCCACTGAGACTCTCAGTGTGGCAGGAAACATTTTTGTGGGACAGGTAAGGTCCTGGGCAGCAGATCCAGCTCCTTAGTGCTTGCAGCTGAGCCTGCCCTGGAGAAAGGGCCTCTCCCTCCCCATAAGACCTGTGGCCCTGTATGGCCTCATCCCAAGGACAGCAGCATTTTCTCTTCCACAGACCGAAGCCCCGCTGCTCATCCGCCCATACCTCCCAGACATGACCCTGTCAGAAATCCATGCTGTGATGACCGGTGGCTTTTCCACCATCGCAGGCAGCGTGATGGGTGCCTACATATCCTTTGGGGTGAGTGCATGAGCAGTTGGATCCACATGCTCCCTGCTACAGGGTACTGAAATGCAAGAACCGCCCTGGACTTGAGGATAAGAGAAGACCCCCAGCAGGTGCCTCATGGTCCCCTTTCATAAGCAGGATGAGAGCAGGGTGTCCAGACTCGCCTTGTCCCAAAGACACCTCAATCCAGCCCCACCTTTGCTGGCCTGTAGAGCTGTGCCAGGTAGAAGATAGTGCTATGGGATCCTTACCATGTGTCCCTGCACAGCGAGCAGGGAAAATCACACAGAATCATGGATAATATAGCCTGGAAAGACCCTGTGGAGGGGTCTCTGATCCACCCTCCTGCCAACTGAGGTTATGGCAACTGAGAGGATGGCCAGGGCCTTGTCCAGGTTGGTGGTGAACATCCCATGGATGGAGATCCCCCCAACCTCTCTGGTTTCCCCCACAGGTACCTCAGACACAGGAAACAATTTTTCCTTATATCCAACTGAAACTGCCTGTAATTCTCACCTTTTCACTGGCTGTCACGGAGCAGTGCCTCCCCTCCAACCCCCTTTTAAATAGAAACAGCAATACCCACCCCCCCTCCCTCTTTTCTCCCAACAGAACAATCCCTTGCTCCTCCAGCATTGCCTGGGCACTTCTGGCACCAAGCCCCCAGGGATGCCCTCTCCAGTTCATCAGTGCTCTGAATAAACCTTCCCCTTAACCTTTTGCCTGAACTCCTGCTATTTAAACATTAATTAGTCTCCTTAAATGGGGAACCAAAGGTGGAAGGTCAGAGAAATGAGAAGTTGCCAGGGGAGGGGTGAGGCTGGGAGCTTGGCCCTTCATCAACAGGTAGAAGTTAACAGTATTACTCAACCTATTGCTCTGATACCGGTAAAAAGGGACAAGGAAGGAATAAGAACCATTATTAAGTCAAACAGCAGGAGAGATTAACATCACCAAGGCTACAATCGCTGCAGCTCCAGCAATCGCCTCCATTCAGGCAAGCTGCCCCACGTCTACAGCTGCTTAGATGGGAAAACCAGCCAATTTTCCCACCTTGTACAAGTGGAGAGCCTAAAGTGCTCTGCGTGTCACTGGCTGATGCCAGGCACGTGCTGGGATGCCCGGGGGTGGCAGGCCATGGGGCACAGCCCTGCACAGAGGTGCCTATGCCTCTGTCTGCACATTGCAGATTGATGCAGCATCACTGATCGCAGCTTCTGTAATGGCTGCACCTTGTGCCCTTGCCATGGCCAAACTCGTCTACCCTGAAGTGGAGGAGTCCAAGTTCAAGGGCAAAGCAAGCATCTGCCTCTCCAGTGGGTGAGTGTGAGGAGAGGGGCAGTGGAGTGGGGCTGCACGTGTCCTTCTGTTGCAGGGAGGCCGTGGGGGCACTTTGGGGTGCAAGCGGACACTGCGGGTGCCTGAGGCTGGGAGAGCCTGTGGTGACCACACCTCCACAGAGTGAGTGCTGACCTGGCATGGAGGATGCCCAGCCAGATGACTACATTGGGGTCTTTTTCCATGCAGGGAAGAGCAGAACATCTTGGAAGCTGCTAGCAACGGGGCTGCCACCTCCGTGGGGCTCGTTGCCAACATCGCAGCCAACCTCATCGCCTTCTTGGCCGTGCTGGAGTTCATCAACGCTGCCCTCCGCTGGTTCGGGGAGATGGTAGACATTGAGGGTCTGACTTTCCAGGTATGCCCAAGAGCAGACCCATGGTTTTAGCTGCCAGATCCTGCATCCCCCACCCATCCCCACTTTTTCCCACTGCCTCAGTGGGCTGCTGAGACCCTTGCTGGGTTTTTGGCAAACGCTGGCAGCGGACATCCAATCCGGAAGCTGTGCAGGTCAGCTCTGAGTCGTTCCCTTCTGGGATGCTTTTCCCAGGTGATCTGCTCCTATGTCCTCATGCCTGTGGCCTTTCTCATGGGGGCAGACTGGGCAGACTCACCACTGGTGGCTGAACTCCTGGGGATCAAGATCTTCCTGAATGAGTTTGTGGCATACCAGCAGCTGGCCAAATACAAGAAGAACCGTCTGATGGGCCTGGAGGAGTGGGATGGGAACCGGAAGCAGTGGATATCTGTGAGGGGCACCTGCTGCCCTGCCAGGCACAGGGCAGGGACAGAGCCAGCTGGAATGGGGCATGGGACCTGGCTAGGCTAGGGTGGTGGGCAGGCAGAGAATCATAGAACCATTTAGTTTGGAAAAGTCCTCTAAGATCATTGAAACCAGGATGATGGTGCTGGGAGTGGGAGGGCACCTATGTCCAGCAAGACTTGGATGTTTGCTAATGGCTGGGTGTGGGATAAAGGAGTCAATGAAGCCCTTTCCCATTTATCCTGCTCCTTGGTGGGACAGATGCTCCTGGGTGCTACAGGGCCCTTGAGCCCCCAGCCCAGCCTCTTCCAGGGAGAGCTTTCATCCTTGCTCCCAAAAATAGCTGATGGAGAAGGGGTCGGGGTGGGGAACTGGTCTCTGTCATGTCTGTCTGGGAGCTCCAATGTGGTGCTCAGCTCTGGGTGCTCTGGGGCTGTTCCTGGGCAGAGGTAACCATCCCCTGCTGCTGTGCCCTCCAGGAGCGAGCTGAGAGCATCACCACCTTTGCCCTCTGTGGATTCGCCAACCTCAGCTCCATTGGCATCACTCTGGGAGGCCTGAGTAAGTATGACCTATGTCCTGAGTGCCTGGGTGCTCAGGGAGTGGGGTCGTGGGTCAGGGAGCAAGAGCTCAGCTGAGACAGGAGGAATTTGCTGCTCTCAAAGCTCCATGTTTGGTGTCTGCCATATAAGAAACAGGATTTGCATGAGGTTGATTTTGCACTGCACCCGTGGGCAAGAGCACATGCATGTCCCCTCGAGCCTAGGTATCACCCAGCCACAGGGGAAAGAGCAGAGAGACTCCAGTGCTGGGAGTGCTCAGGGCTCTGGTGGATCACCTACAGGTGCAGGGTGGGCACAGTGCTCTGCCAGGATCGGCAGACAGCACACTGGGCGCTGGCTGGGATCACCACATCCTCCAGACAGCAGGAGTTGGGGTGGGCAGGGCACGACGTGGCAGAGCCAGCTCAGGACTGAGGACATGTCCCTATCTGTCCCCCAACCTGTGCAGATCCAGAGCAAGGACCTGACTCAGCCCAGTGTCTGTTTTCCCCCCACAGCTTCCATGGTGCCCCAGCGCAAGGGTGACTTTGCCTCCGTGGTGCTACGGGCCCTGCTCACTGGCATCTGCGTTTCCATGCTCAATGCCTGCCTGGCAGGTAGGTCTCTGTCCACTGCCAGCAGGGTCAGACAGACCCAGGGAGGGACAGGCACAGGGCTGAAGTGTGAAATGCAGCATTCAGGGATGGAGGTGGCTGGCCTGTGGCTCTGCCAGGGCCTTCAAACCCTGCTCTCCCCTCATGGCTCTGCCAAGGGCAGCCCAAGCCCAACAGCACTCCTGGGGCCCTTCTGGGGCTGGATCATTTCAAGGGTAACTTTTGGAGTACTGCAAGGAGCTCCTTGAAGTCTTGGGTGGGGTGAGGTGGGATGGCTCATGGGACCTGCACAGTCCCAGCTCCAGGACTTGCAAGCAAGTAGAGTCAGGGTGTGGGACTTGTGAGCAGGCATAGGGTACAGGACTCACAGCTTTCTTGGGGTATGGAATTTGGATCCATGGTCCCTTTAAAGTCCCAATAGGAGACCTTGTTCCCCAGGTCTCCTCCATGTGCCAACACAGGTGGGTGACTGCGCAATGTTCTTCAGCACCACCAACTTCAGCTCGACCAGCTACACTATGTACACCTGCTGTAAGCAGCTCTTTGCCAGGTGGGTGTGAAGGGTCCTGGAGCCATCTGGCCCTGCCCAAGGACCCAGGTGGTGGGGCAGCAGCTCATCCTGACCCTGTGTCTCCCTTTCCAGCTCAGTGCTCCAGAATGGGACTCTCTCCTTCACGGGATCCTGGGCTGAGCAGGCAGAGAGCGTGCTCTGGCTCGGAGAGTGCTGTGTGTACTACAACCACACGTCCTGTGCAGGGACAATCTAGAACTGGGGGAACGACAAGGCTTATCCCCAGAGGTAGAAAAAACCCCAAGAGAAACCTGAGCATTTGGTCTCCACTCCCATGCTGACCTTGCAACCTGGCAACCTGCAGCCTTAGCTGCTGGCCCAGGGGACACAAGGGAGCAGCTCCCAAATAAATGATGGCAACCCTTGTATACTTGCCCTCAGACCCCTGACTATGGCTGTCCCACACAGCAAGAAGTCCTTTGCTGGGGCTGCCCAGCCCCATGCCCACTGCAGACCTTGCAAGTTGAGCCCCTGGCTGCTGCCAGCCTTAGGCTCTGACCCCAGCCCCCCTCTTTTCTCCCATGGGACATGTTTGGGGTAAAGCCAGTGCTTGAAGATGTTTCCTTCCCCCAAACACGACACCAAAGCATCCCACTGTGCTTGGGTGCACCTCTCCTAGATGGACCACAGTGCCAGGGAACAGGCCAGTCCTTCTCTCTTTATTGCACTCGAGAGCACCCAGTCGCCAACGCAGCCATGTTATATACATCGAAATTTTACAGTTACCCAGTGACAAAGGATCAGGAGCCCAGAGCATGCCAGGCTCCCAGCCTGGCCTCTCCTCTCCATCAGGCTGCACTGAGCCACTGCTTGGGACCCCACCCTGCAGGGTGGTGTCACTGGCACCCAGCACCCTCCTGCTACGCACTGAGGAAGGGGATGCTCTGCAGGGTGATGGAGCAGATGGCTCCTGTGCCTGTCCATCACTGCCTTGAGCCAGGGGAAGCAGGATTTGGAGTGGGTACTGCCAACTGTTGCTGGAGTCCAGCACGTGCCAAGCAGGGGTGATGCTGAGCACCAGATTGTGCTGTGGGGTAGGGCATACAGGGTCTATGTACAGCATGGGGGCAAGGAGCAGGGAGTCCTGTGGGCCAGACACCCCCATGTGCCTAGACAGAGCCTGATAGTCACCCTTTGTCCTGCTCCCAGGTATCCCATGTGAGGTAGAGCATCTAGGTAGCTTACCCTAGCACTGGCCCCCATCCAGAGCAGCATGCCCTCAGCAGCCACCCAGCAACGGGGTGGGAAACTTCCCCAGGAAACAGGAAGCAGGGGTGCAAAACCCCATCCCTATGCAGCTGCTGGTACCAGTGCAAACACCCCACCCTGGAACCAGCCAACACCCCAGAGCCCCACACCATAGCAGAGGAGCCCTGAAGTGACTGCTAGAACCCTCTGCAGGAAAAAGGGTTTGCCAGGGCACAGGGGACTGCCTGGGCACTGGTAGGGTTCTCATCCTTGACAGCGCTGGCAAGGCTTGGCCTGGTCACTTTATGGGGACACAGAGGGACATGAGGTGCTGGGAGCCAGGAGAGTGTCCAAGACTCCTAGTTTGCTGGGGAGCCAAGCAAGGACATGGTGCCTGCAAAGCCCAAGGGAGAAGCTCTGCCCCTGCCTTAAGGAAGGCCTATGGAAAGTTGAGAGAGGAAAGCGAGTCTGAGCGTGGAGAGGCACAGGGCCCCACAGGCTGCAGCAGCAACTCCTGTAGAGGTACTGGGGAGGTGGCCTGTGGCTCAGAGCCCCCAAGGCCCTGGCCCAGCCACTCACATTTAGCACACACCACACAATGCAAGCGCTGCAGGCCAGACAGGAGCCCCACGGAGAAGGCCACTGCCAGGGTCTCCCCATCCTGCACTGGTCACGTGCTGGGCCCAGCCTGGGGGCCAGAGCAAGAATCTCAGCTGCAGCAGCTCTGACTACTGTGGGCAGCCAGCTCTGTTGCTCTCTCCTGACCTGGGTTTGCAGGCTGTTGGGGCCTCCCCTGTTTCTGCAGCTCTCCGGGTGGTCTTGGGGCTCACAGAAGCCTTGCGGGTGCCCTGAGGACTTGTCAGCACCTTCTTCTGGAGCTGGGGGCTGGACTGGGCAGACTTCCTGCCCAGGCAGGGACTCTTGGAGCCCTTGGGCTTGGCTGGCTCCAGCATCTTCAGGCCCAGGATGCTGCAGTAATGATTGCACTTGTGAGCAGCCGGGAACTGCTCCAGCAGCGAGGGGAAGCAGCTCTCCTTCAGCCCCTGGTACCTGCCAACAGAGTTATCCTCAGCTCCTGCTTTGCACTAGGAGATGTTCCAGCAGAGCAGGGAGGCAAGGATGGAGCCTGACCACGGTTATCACCATTGCCCTTGTCAGGTAAGTGGCAGAGCTGGGGACAGCCAGGCCCACCCTGCTCCAGAGCTGGAAATCACTCACCCTTTCAGGTTGGTAGCGATCCGCACATTGGTCAACTTCCAGCCCACTCCTGTAATTTAAGAGGACAACCAGAGAAGGACAGCCACTAGCACCAAGGGCAGGTCATTGCCCTGGGTAGAGGGCATGGGGGAAAGAAAGAGGCAGGAGGACAAGCCTGGGGCTTTTCTTCCTTTCCCAGGCTGGAGGGTGGCAACAGGCCATGGGCACCACACAGGAGATCCCTTTACCTTCCATGTCAGTCACAAGGATGTTTCCATTTGTCCACTGGTAAACCCAATGCTGGAATGTGCAGCATTTGAGCACAATCTCTGAGGTGCCTCGTGCCACCAAAGTGCCATCCTTCTCAGTGACACAGTACTGCTCGCAGGGCCTGCCGAGATCCTCCTCCATTGTGGCATAAGGGATGTTGTTGGCTGGACGATAAATCAGGTACAGAGGAATTATCCTGCATGGGAGTTCACAAAGTCAATGTGGTGAGCTCTCCCTCCTCTGCAAGTGGAGATTCACACCATGGTCTGCAACCCTGGCTTTCGCCTTCCTCCCAATATCCCTTCCATTTGTGGGAGTAGAGTGCACTGCCTTTGGAATGCCCCATCACCCACAGGTCCCCTGCAGTGCTCTGCCAGGGCATCAAGCCAGTGGAGCTGCAGCACATCACTTACTCAGGCACTGCTCCAAAATCCGGGACGGCTCGTGCCTCAGCAGCAAAGATCTTGCAGTACTCACGGCTGGAGTTTTGGACTTTACATTCCTGGAAGTGCAAAAGGAAGAGTCAAGAACCTGTCCCATCTTGCACCAATGCCTCCCTGGGACCACTGCCAATTGTTTCTCTGTCCTGGTGATCAAAGGGTGGTGGGAAAGTCCTGAGCAGCTCCATGTTGCTCAGACCGAAGTGCTGAAGCCAAGAATGGCAAGGACACGTCCAGCCCCCTAGCTAGACCACTCCAGAGCATTCCAAAAGTGAAAGGAAATAGCAAAAGTGGGCACAGAGCTGGGGGCTGTCTGAGGACCAACTCACACACAGGTGGGGAAGGTGGGAGGGAGAAAGGTGGATGGTGGCCCACAACAATGCCCACCTGGATGGTGATATCATAGTTCTTCTCGATAAGGCTGTTCTCATTCTTGGTCCCAAAGACGATGAAATTGTGCACTTTGATGACACAGGTGTGGCCGGACTCAAAGACAGGCTCCAGGCCGTAAATGGCTCTGGCACGGCAGGCTTTGCGCAGGAAACCAGCACCCACTTCCATGTCCTCGCTCACCACACGCCCGAAGAGCTTATCCCCCCAATAGCCTGCATCAGCCAAACCCTTGGCAAACACCATGGGTGTCATCTCGATCTCCTCTCCAGCTGGTGGGGGGAAGAGCTGGTGAGACAGGGACAACATGGGCACGTCCTGCTTCTGCCCCAGAGCTGCCTGCCCCACTCAGGAAGGGGCAGATCACAGCTCATCATGTGGCCCTTACCTTCGATCTCTTCCCGCAGGACAAATCCTGACAACACTAGAGGAGACAGAAACCAAAGAGGTGTCAAGGTGCTGCCAGGATCCTGTCCTGCCAGGATCCCACCTTGCCCTGTGCACTTGCACAACTAGGGATGGCAGATAGGATGGTGGGAATCAGCTGGCATGCAGAGTCCACACACCTCACAGAGCTGCTGTTACAGAATGTGCCAATGCTGCAGCCTGGCACCAAGCCCTCTCCGCAGTTGGCCACACCACCCCATGGCACACCCAGAAAGCTGTGAGAGGCTGCTGAGGGCTTCTCACCTTCTGGGCTGAGCAGGAAATCTGTGGAATTGGTGCCATACTCGTTGCTGATCACACACCGATAGACTCCGCAATCCTTCTGGGAAGCCTGCACAACAGCCAAAGCTGCCTGGCCCTCATCACCAGCACTGGAAAAAAAACAGAGCATGGCCACATTCTCATGTGGTGGTGGGGGCCACATAGGAGCCCTGTGATAGGCACTGCCCTTGGGGGAATGGAAGAAGGCTACAAACTAAGCCATCCCAAGGGCAGCCCAGCCATGTCATGGCACCAGGAATCTGCCCTGTGGTTTGTCCTAACAGAGATGCCTATCCTCCAGGCAAGCCGTGCAAAACCTGGCCAGGATTGGGCTACAGACTGATAAAGGTACTTGCCCCTGCATGAGGCTGGGTCAGGGCTTCATAGAGGGAAGAGGTGGGACCCTCATCCTGAGACCCACTGGCTGAGCAGGCTTTGTTCTGGTCTGCTGGAAAGCAATGGCCACTCCTGCCCATCTGCCCCAGGAGACAATTTTTGCCCCAGAATCACCTAACTTACTGTTGACTCATTATAAAGGGAGCTCAGGGGGCACCAATGGCATCAGGCAAATCCTAACTGATGTGGATGATGTTCCTACACAAATCCTCTGGGCTTGAGAACAAGTTGCTCTCCACAGTAGACCCAAAGGATACAACCAGCCACCCAGCTGTCTGAATATACTCTCCCTGCACAGGGGCAGTGCCAAGGGGTAGACAGGGCACAGCCAGAGCTGCTTTTTCCCAGTGGTTGTTGCACAGAAGACCTTTCCAGCACTGCTAGCAGGCTGCCACCCTCACATGGATCCTTTGCGGTGACAGTTTCATAGTTCACATCCAGCTCTTGATTTCTGTGATGGGCATAATACCTTCTCTACCCTCCCCAAGGTTTGGGTACCCAAAGCAGACACTCCAGATGGAGAATCAATAAGATAAATTTGGCAGCAATTCCTCATCTGGGCAATCCTGCCCTCTGTGGGCACTGATATGATGAAGTTCTCAATGTACTGTGCCATGAGCTTCCCATGCTGCCTTAGCAAGAGGGGAACCTTCACCCCAGTCAAGGCAAGGAGCAGGATGTGACAGGTGACAACAAGGACTGCATTGCCACGGAGCTAACAGGTTACCTCCTTTGGGCTTCAGC